CCCAAATGTACAGTCTGTTGCTGAGTTGTACACCAGACCACACCCAAATGTACAGTCTGTTGCTGAGTTGTACACCAGACCACACCCAAATGTACAGTCTGTTGCTGAGTTGTACACCAGACCACACCCAAATGTACAGTCTGTTGCTGAGTTGTACACCAGACCACACCCAAATGTACAGTCTGTTGCTGAGTTGTACACCAGACCACACCCAAATGTACAGTCTGTTGCTGAGTTGTACACCAGACCACACCCAAATGTACAGTCTGTTGCTGAGTTGTACACCAGACCACACCCAAATGTACAGTCTGTTGTAGAGTTGTACACCAGACCACACCCAAATGTACAGTCTGTTGCTGAGTTGTACACCAGACCACACCCAAATGTACAGTCTGTTGCTGAGTTGTACACCAGACCACACCCAAATGTACAGTCTGTTGTAGAGTTGTACACCAGACCACACCCAAATGTACAGTCTGTTGCTGAGTTGTACACCAGACCACACCCAAATGTACAGTCTGTTGCTGAGTTGTACACCAGACCACACCCAAATGTACAGTCTGTTGCTGAGTTGTACACCAGACCACACCCAAATGTACAGTCTGTTGTAGAGTTGTACACCAGACCACACCCAAATGTACAGTCTGTTGCTGAGTTGTACACCAGACCACACCCAAATGTACAGTCTGTTGCTGAGTTGTACACCAGACCACACACAAGCAGCTACTACAGTGTCTACATTGTCAAGTTGCTCAGTGACGTCATGTCATTATGCTGACATGTGTTTGGCAACAACCAGTTATAAAAATAGAATTTTACGACAATCAGATTGACAACACCGACACCACCCTGGTCTGTATGGGACTGTACCCTAAGACATGATGTCATCAGCTCTTTGTCCATATTTGATGAGAAGAGCGTAGCATTGAATGGTGATTGGTTGCATGTAGTGTTGTTATGAGGTAATGGGGTAGTGGGGTAGGTCCCTCATTATGTGTGGTCTACATGTGTGAATGTGATTCTTGTCACCAATGTCAACAACACCTTTTATGGTCTCACAGAGCGGAACGACATCGTGCAGACGTGTAGCATATCACGTGACAGCACACTGACACACGCACACAGGCAGTGCTGCAAACACGAGATGCCTGAGTTCTGGCTACGGCACACAGACAGTGCTGCCAACACGAGATACCGGAGTTCTGGCTACGGCACACAGACAGTGCTGCCAACACGAGATACCGGAGTTCTGGCTACGGCACACAGCCACAAAGCTAAGCCAGAATTAGTATGTGTAAGTAGACTGCCGTCCGGACCGTGGTCTGCCAGACAGTGAGCTGCATCTCTTGCCATTTACCACATGCATGTAAAGCACGATTCGTTCAAACATTAGATTACACCGTTATTTTATCTGCACCGCTCAGTCGTCCATTTCGCACGGCACAGTCCACTGTTAGTTGGTGGTTTTCGTCTCCGTCCCTTTTCTCATTTTCTTGTAAACGTCTTCTACTGTAGTATTCTTGAACAGTCCCTACCTACCTTTGTTAGTCGTGCATTATCCTTTCCAGTCATT